GTCTTGGACAGGATTGGTACTGCCGCCTACAGACTAGCACTGGCTCCAGAGCTCTCCAAGGTCCACAATGTGTTCTATGTGTCCATGTTACGTAAGTACAACCCGGACCTCTATCATGTCTTGGCTCATGAACTGGTCCCACTCCAAGAGGATTTATCTTATGAGAAAGTACCAGTCGGTATCGCGGACCGAAAGAGCAGAATACTCCGCAACCGGAAAATATCATTTGTAAAGGTCGTGTGGCAGAACCACACGCCAAGGGAGGCTAACTGGGAGCTAGAATCAAACTTTAGAGTCCAGTATCCCCATTTGTTCGACCAAGAGTAAGAGGCAAATTTAGGGGACCAAATTTCTTTAAGAATGGGAGAGTTATAACACCTAAATTTTTTATTTTTATTATTATTGGAATTGTTTTGATTTTATTTTATTTTAATAATTAATTTATTAGGTAATAATTATATGATTTTAATTTAATTTAATAGAGATAAAAATAATAATAATGATAAAAAGGGGTAAAATTATTTTTTAAATTTAATTGAAAATGATTTTGGAAAAAAAGGGTGAAAATTTGGATTCTAAGGGTATTTCTGAAAGGAAAATCGAAAACCGATGGTCAAAATACAATTTAAAAAAATTACACCACGTCAGCAGCCAGATCAGCAACCCGGTCAGCAGCTCCAGCCAACCAGGACACGCTGCGTGGCAGAGACGCTGACGCGGGAAGGCCATGCAGAACGGGCCACGTGGGCGATCCGCGTGCGCGCGATCGAACGGCTGAGATCCGTTATCGCACGCACAGACGGCACAGATCAAACACGCGCACGGACGGCTTAAATCGCATCGCGATGGATGATCTAGATTCATTTTCAATTTAATCGCGATCGGACGACCCAGATTAAATCGTGATGGACGGCTCAGATTAAAAAGAAAATGTTATAAATAATCTCATCCATACCCAAACCCAAACACTAGCCGCCAAAACCCTCGCCAGAGAAGACAACCCAGCCACCGGAGGAACCGACTGCCACCACCCAACTATCTATCTTAGTTAGAAAATTATCTTTTAATTTTTAATTTATTTCCATGTCTCCCCCTTAATTTGGCCACAATCTCTTTTAATTAAAGAAGAAGACTAAATTTATTTTAGTTAGGGAATTAGTCTTTAATTTTTTATTTATTTTCTATGTAATTATAAATTAAATTAAGAGACTTTATTTCTTTTTTATTTACATGACTTAACTTATAAATAGGCTACCAAGTTATCATTGTAAGATATTTCTGAAATTATCTCAATAATGTTAAAAGTGTTTCTTTTCAAGAGAGATTTTTCTACCATCTTGCTGAGCAAAAAGTGGATATATTTATCGAGGTACGACCTTATAATATTTTTTAATTCTATTTTTTTCATTTCCAGTGACCTTAATTTTTATTATTCTTGATCGCAGATTAAGTACGAAAGATTTCTATAAGATCAATTTATTTGATACTTTTAAATAAAATCGTGCGAGTTCCTGATCATATTGATTGATCTTGAGTTCCGTATCAAATTTCTAATCAAATTTTAGTTTTAACATAAATTTTAATTGGATAGATGAAATATATAATTCTTAATTAAATATAAACTTTTTAATGGTTAACCAGGTATAATTTAATAATATCCATTATGTATAATAGACATGGCCAACATATTATGCTTTTTGTATTTTAATAATATCTAAATTCTACTAAATAACTTATATATTCAAAAAAAAATTATTTCAGGAAAATATTATCATGAGACGGCTATGTATTCTCTAATAGATAATAAATACAATAAATTTACGTAGATAATAACTTACCATTTTTATATTTTAACAATATCTAAATCTTCGTCAAATAATTTATATATTTAAAAAATATTTAAAATAAATAAATTTCTACATTCCGCAATCAATTACTGGTATTATTTTTATGTTATATATGTTTAGAATATAATTGATTTATATACATACTATATACTGATTATTACTCAATAAATTTCATTAAATGAATTTATTTTAGCAGAATTTTTAATTAAAATAGTCATTAATAAAAATTTTAATCAAATTTTAATTATAGTAGAATTTTAAGTTAGAATTGTAATACCAAAATATATAATATAATAGATAATAAATTATAATTTTTCTAAAATTTTGACAAAAATAACATTATGAATATGATATTATCAAGTAATTTCTAATTAGATACAATCTGTTAATATAGAAACAGAATTATATATTAAATAGATAATTGATAACACACTTAATTATCTTTTATGTCTTGATAATATCTAAATTTTCATTAAATAATTTGTATATATAGTTAAATATAGAATCTCGTGCTTGCGAATAACTCCTACCATTTGACCCTCTGGTCAAAGTAGTTAAAAGCTGTTTCAACAGGATACCATTTCCTTTTAACTCAGCATGTAAATAATTTGTCGCGGCATATCATTTACCCAGAGATATTGTACAAGCACTTGCCTCCCTCTCCCCAATCAATCAAGGCGTTGATAGGATGGTGGTGGCCCACGCCACTTTGATCGAAAACAACATAAGGCAATGCTCAACGGCCCACATACCATCATCATCACATGTCTTGACCTGCACTCACATGTATCTGATGACTCTCCCTCCCCCTCTCCTCTCTCTTTATATAATCATCTAAACATCTTCTGCATTCCCATACAAACTAGGTTTTTGCAGTCTCCCATGTTAATTTCACACTAGTATAGGTTTAGTTTGGTACTGTACTAGTTGCAGAAGAAACAGTAAAGTAAACCAATGTTGCGTCTTCTTCTTCTCCCTCTTCTGTTTTTGTTATTATGTCCCTCTGGTGTAAACTCCTCATCCTCCTCCACCCCCACCAAGATCGGCAAAGGTTACCGTCTGATATCCATCGAGGAGACTCCTGATGGCGGATTTCTCGGTCATCTCCAAGTCAAGCAGAAGAACAATATATACGGCCCTGACATCCCTCTCCTCCAGCTCTATGTCAAGTAAGTCATTCCATGCAATGCATGTCCATACATTTCCTTTGCTCTCAACTGATTGTATCGAGTTTGGTCTGCTGATTTTGCAGGCACGAGACCGATGACCGCTTGAGAGTCCACATAACCGACGCGGAGAAGCAGAGATGGGAGGTCCCGTACAATCTGCTACCGAGGCAGCCAGCGCCGGTATTGAAGCAGACCATTGGGGGATCCAGAAAGAATCCGATAACGGTGTCGGAGCTTTCAGGTTCTGAGTTAATCTTTAGTTACGTAACTGACCCGTTTGGGTTTGCCGTGAAAAGAAAATCAACGGGGCAGATTCTTTTCAACTCGAGCTCTGATGGATCAGACCCATTTGGTGAAATGGTGTTTAAAGACCAATATCTCGAGATTTCCACCAAATTGCCTAAAGATGCTTCACTATATGGACTGGGAGAAAACACACAGCCCCATGGAATCAAACTGTATCCAAACGAGCCTTACACACTCTACACTATGGATATATCCGCCATTAATCCCAACACTGATTTGTACGGCTCTCATCCGGTGTACATGGATCTTAGAAATGTGGGTGGTCAAGCTTATGCGCATGCGGTTCTGTTGCTTAACAGCAATGGCATGGATGTATTCTACAGAGGAAATTCTTTAACTTATAAGATAATAGGCGGTGTTTTTGACTTTTACTTCTTTTCTGGACCCACACCCCTTGGAGTTGTCGATCAGTACACCCAATTCATTGGCAGACCGGCTCCAATGCCTTACTGGTCATTTGGTAATGCGTCTAGACACTCTGTTTTCATCCCCTGCATTTCATTATCACTAACCCACTCTGTTTTACCACTGCTACTCTGTTTTTCATTCTCTCTGAATCTACTTGGTTTGACACTACCCTGGTCTGCTTTCATCTTTACTGCATTTGCTTGTCATTTTCACTGGATTTCTCTGTTCTTAAGACCGTCATCCTTATTGGGTTTTTACTGCCAGCTCAATTTCGTATGGTACAGTACAACACATTTATTTATGTTGGTGGTATTGGTAGTGATTGGTGGTAAATTTAATTTTATCAGAACTCGAGATTTGATTATTACAGTGATAATTTGGTAGGTGAAATCATATAATTTATATCTTGTAATGGAATATTTTAAAAGTGGAGAGAGATATTTATGGAGGAAGGACCGTATGAGATTTGGATGGCAGGTGGCACGAGAGTCTTGGATTCGCTGCATGCAGTAGCACGGTCTCATATGATGATAGAGATATTTTTGTTCCTTTTATAGAATTGGGATCTTTTTTTACTCATTTCTCAATCTGATAATGTTTGAGACCACTTTTGGGACGACAAAAAATCTCTTCTTCCGTCTCGTATTAAACTACTTTTAAAATTATTAGGTCTAACCAAAAGGTGAAGCATTGCATCCAACGTCAAAGCCTCTGCTTTTTTTTTATTGCCGTTTTAGTGCCCAAAAAGGAAAAGAAATCTTTACCCTTTTCCATATACATTTAGTCCAAAATGTCCTGTTTTGACAGATGAACCAATTTTTACGACAACCCTTGTGATAATTGCTTGGTAGTAAGGACCCTTTTTTTTAAGGGTAAATATACATGGGTGTAGCCTTTAATATCTGTTTATGGGGACTCATGACTTTAAATGTTTCATAATGGTTGTGGGGATATACATACCAGTAACAATCGTTCGGCTAAGCTAAGCAGTGGTTAGTTGGTTGATTATGGGAATATTTATATACTGTATTAATGTCTAGTGTCCCTTCAAGTTTCGGTGTATCCTTCTAACCGGAAACTGAAGAAATACATGTGATTAGGAGTGTGAGATTGCGTATGGCCTTTCTTAAACAACACAATTGCTTACGATTGAATGAGTGATTGCGGTTGGGCAGTAAAGGCGGTTGGCACATGGGGTTGGCCCTGCCGTTGTTTCTCGTATGGATTCCTAGGATGTCACATGCCGAAACTGGAGTTGGCACCCTATTTTAGGTAAAAGAACGGTGATGTCATTTGCACCCGGAGCAACTTCCAGATGGAGAGAGAGAGAGATAACCCCAGTGATATCATCTGATTAATGTTGTTCGACTGTGATTTTAGGTTCAAGGAAATTTGACTTAATATTAGTACTTCATTTTAGAGCAAATACATTCTCACCCTAGTGGTAGAAGTACATAACCTAATTAAATGAAATTTAAGGCTAAATGAATCAGAATTAAGTTGAAATCCAAACAGTTACAAGTGGCCAAAAATTTCTGATTCCTTTCGACAAGAGTTTGCTTGGAACCCTCGTTTCTTTTTCTCTTTATGTTTTTGTTACCAATATCTGTCAAAAGCTTCAGACTTCATTTATGTCCTTTTTCCCTTAAGCAGTTAACCTTTTGCCTCAAACTACTCCTGGTTGCTAGATTTCATCATCATTAAAGAAATATGTTTTTGGTGATCTCAACGTGCTCCATGATTATTGTAAGAACTTGGTAAAAGTAGTGATATTTACATGGTTGTTTTCATTTTAACTTGATTTCACAGGATTCCACCAATGTAGATGGGGGTACCATAACCTATCTGTGGTTGAAGATGTTGTTGAGAACTATAACAAAGCTAAAATTCCACTTGATGTAATCTGGAACGATGACGATCACATGGACGGCCACAAGGACTTTACTCTCAACCCTACTAGCTACCCACGTCCAAAGCTTTTGGCATTCCTAGACAAGATACATAAGAAGGGCATGAAGTACATTGTCCTCATTGATCCGGGGATTGCTGTAAATTCTAGTTATGGTGTATATCAAAGAGCCATGGCCGATGATGTGTTCATTAAGTATGAAGGCGAACCCTTCTTAGCTCAAGTTTGGCCAGGTCCTGTTTACTTCCCTGACTTCCTCAACCCTAAAACAGTTGCTTGGTGGGGAGATGAAATACGCCGATTTCATGAACTTGTACCTGTCAATGGCCTATGGATTGATATGAATGAAGCTTCAAATTTCTGTTCTGGGAAGTGCAAAATCCCAAAGGGCAAACAATGTCCAACTGGGACAGGACCTGGTTGGATCTGTTGCTTGGACTGCAAGAATATCACCAAGACAAGGTGGGATGATCCACCTTATAAGATAAATGCTTCAGGAGTCCAAGCACCAATAGGATTCAAAACCATAGCCACTAGTGCAGTTCACTACAATGGCGTTTTGGAGTATGATGCTCACAGTCTCTACGGATTCTCTCAGGCCATTGCAACTCACAAGGCCCTTCAAGGGTTGGAGGGCAAGCGACCATTTATATTATCACGGTCCACATATGTTGGCTCAGGCAAGTATGCTGCCCACTGGACAGGTGATAACCAGGGAACCTGGAACGATTTGAAGTACTCTATATCTACAATGCTAAATTTTGGCATATTTGGGGTGCCAATGGTCGGCTCAGATATATGTGGATTCTATCCTGCTCCCACAGAGGAACTTTGCAACCGTTGGATTGAACTAGGTGCGTTCTACCCATTCTCAAGGGATCATGCAAATTACTACTCCCCAAGACAGGAACTTTATCAATGGGAATCAGTAGCTGAATCTGCTCGTAATGCCCTTGGTATGAGGTATAAACTCCTACCTTACTTGTATACATTGAGCTACGAGGCTCACACTACTGGAGCCCCAATTGCAAGGCCGCTTTTCTTCTCATTCCCAAATTACCCAGAGTGTTATGATTTGAGCACCCAGTTCTTGCTAGGTAGCAGTGTCATGGTGTCTCCAGTTCTTGAGCAGGGTAAAACCAGTGTTAAAGCACTCTTCCCTCCAGGCACTTGGTACAGTTTATTCGACATGACACAAACAATTACGTCCAAAGATGGCGTGTATGTTACCCTTGATGCACCTTTACATGTGGTCAACGTGCATTTGTATCAGAATACCATTCTACCAATGCAACAGGGTGGAATGATTTCTAAGGAGGCAAGAATGACACCGTTCAGCCTCATAGTAACCTTCCCAGCAGGGGCAGGTGATGGGGAGGCTAAAGGGCACATATTCATTGATGACGATGAACTCCCTGAAATGACACTTGGGAACGGATATTCGACATATGTAGAGTTATATGCAACTGTAAACCAGAAGGGAGTGAAGGTGTGGTCCGAGGTTCAAGAGGGCAAGTTTGCCTTGGATAAAGGATTAATTATTGGTAAGATCACAGTGTTGGGATTGGCTGGAAGTGGACAGCCATCTGCACTCGAGATTAATGGAAATCCTGTTTGGGATACATCAATGGTAAAGGTGATATCATCGAAGCAGACAGTCGTTGAGGAGATGGATGTGGGAGAGGGTAAGCAGAGGAGCTTGATGGTTGAAATTAATGGCCTGGAGATCCCAGTGGGGAAGAACTTTGCTATGACTTGGCAGATGAGCATCAACAGGACGGCATAAGGATGTTCATGCGTCCTACTCTTCGTAGGTTCCTTTTCTATGTAATTTCTTGTCAGATTGTTTATGGGTTATGTAAAATCAAAGGATGTTGATTATGGGAGAGGAGATGAGTTTTAAAGTTGTGCTCATCCTTCGTCCAAATTAGAGAGCGTAATTTAGAGGCATCCCGTTATTGAGTTTATAGTCCAAAAATCACTGGTCAAAATCTTATTTAATAACGTAAATCTGGGTTTACTTACGTTTTCAAATCAGACTCTTCTTATATATGCTGAAAGTGAAGAAGCCATTGATGAATTGAAAGAAAATCAAATGGAAACTTGAGATGAACTTTTGATAACAGTAATTGCAGTTTTTGTTTTGGTCAGAGAACAAATCAGTCTTCAACTTGGGCCAAACGGGTTTTAACATGGGCCAGCCCTTTAGGCCTGCTGGGCCAGGTGATTTCATGTAATATAAAAAAAATAAGAAATATGATAGAATTATCAAATTAAATTAAAACGACTTTCAGTTTATGTAGTGACAAGTGATGAAGTCAGCTCCTTACTATTTTGGAAATTACACCGGTGCCACGTCATCACGTCTCCCCCCCATAACTCCCCAATTAAAATAAATATTAAAAAATTAAATAGAGAAAAATTTCTAAAGTCCAATACTTTTTTTTTTATTTTTCACTAAGTTGCTACGCTGGCAGTTTCCTCGCAATTACAAACAGACACGAGACGAGGACAACCTCTTTGTAACCCAACAGCTGGCGGACACTTGTCGCCGCGCGGACACGTGTCGATCACTCCTTCGTAGTAAGACCGCAAAAATAGGTATTCTGGCGGGAAAGAGTAGGCTGTGGGGTCCACGTTGGCGCCTTTGGCGGGAAACGTAAGCGACCGCCTCGGTCCCCTCAGCTTCACTTACGTACCCCACTTGGCCTTGTCCCTAGCTGGCTGCCGTTGCTCCCGATACAGCTCCCCATTGGTCAACATCCATATATATATATATATTTATTTATATATATATGATTTATGATTTATGATGGGTGCATGGCATGGGTTTATGTGTATGCATGATGACCATGATGGACATGTAAAGATACAAAATATTTTATTGGCAGTAGATGTTTTTATGAGATCACGTGAGTTGGTCCTGGTGGGTGACAAAATGAAATGGATACACATATTTCTTGTATGTATTATTAAATTAAAAAAAAAAAAAAAGGTATTTTATTTACCTTACCTACTTTGGTGGTGGGACAAGATCGATCTGGCTTTGTGTTTATAGTGGGATGGCAGAGTATGAACCGTTGGATTTGCTGTCGCTTCTTACGAAGCAAGCATCATCACGTGCCCAGCGTGCTCCTTCATAAAATTATATTATTTATTTTTTTTAAACCGACACTATATTTACTACTGTTAAATCGTTAAATTCATAATTTTTATCGTTAAATCATTCCCCCATGCTGATATGTCACAAATGTCATGCTGTAAACAAATATGTTACGGTGAAAAATATAATAATTACTACCATTTAAAAAGGAAATGATGTGACTTTATATACCTAACAAAAATAATTTACCAAAAATTATATATAAGTAAGTCTTCTTACTTTTAATTATACGTTTACAATTATTGCACAAACAAATAAATAGAATAAAATATAAATTAAACTATTTTTTCTTACATTAAATTAATAATTAATAATCATTAAAGTGACAAATAATAATAATGATATAAAAGTTTTCAATAACAACAATAATAAAATTAAAAAAAAATACAGAATAATAGAACCAGCAGTACCAACAAAAAGAATGGAATGATAATGATGGAGTGACAATAACTATTGATAATAATAGTAATTAAAATTGATTAAAATATAAAATTGAAAAAAAAATATTTTATTAATTTTTTTATTATTAAATAATTAATTAAATCAGATAGAATTTATTCAATACATTTATTTTTTAGTAATTTATATAGTTCAGTTAATTATATTTTTTGATCAATTTATATTAATTTTTTATTTTTTAATTGAACCGGTTAAATTGATTAAAATATTTTTTATTTTTTAATTGAAATAATTAAATTGATTAAAATATTTTTCTTACAACAATATTAATAGTAAGGTAGTAAAAATAATAATATTATTATAAATATATATATATATATGTAAGAAAAAAAAATTTGAATGATTATTTAATTATTTTAAAATATTGTTTATTTAGGCGATATTTTTTGTAATAATTTGTTCTGAGTAATAATTATTTACCTTCCATGAGTGAATAGTAGAACCTCTAGAAAAGGTAGAGAAAGGCCAAGAGTGATAACAATGTAGCAATTCTACTTGAACTAAATAATCATTAAAAGTAAATTGATAATTCGATTTTTGTAACAAAAAGTAATATTAGATTTAGTGCGTATCCAAAGTTTTTTTTTTTTTTTTTTTTTTTTTGTGTGAGTATGAAGATTTCTTCAGTTTTAACCAATATGCAAGGGGATAGGTAACTCTAATTAAGGTTATTTCTTGAACAAATATAGATATACCTTAAGATAATATATATATATATATATATATATTAGTCAATCTAATTCATATATTACAAGTTAAGTGTTAAATGTATGAAAAATATAGATAAAGTTTTAGTGAATTAAATATAATAATATTTTATAAGAATTTATATTGTAAAAGACATTATTTTTTGATAGAATTATATTTTTTCATAATAAAAAATAAATAAACTTTCAACTAGACTTTAAAATTATAATAGAGAATCTTTTTTATATCATTAGAAATATTTTTTTAGTTTTAATTTCTTTATTTTACATATTATCCACATGTTAAAAGCATATACGGGGTGAAGTGTTTATATAGTAATCAAATATACATAAAAAATAGTTTTTCATAAAATGTTCAAAGTGTAAAATGGTTTTAAATTTCATCATAATTTTCACCATTTATATTTTCTTTTATATATTTAGATATTGAAAACTAAATAGTATTCTTTTTACAAAAACAAAACTTTGTTTCTCTTTTTTTTTTAAAAAAAAAAAGACATAAATATAAACATAACTTAACCCCACTAATAAATAAACGAAATGTAGAACAAATACTGTAACGACCCCGGAAATTGAAAGGAAATGTGTATATATTTATTCTTAATGCGGAAGCGAAATAAAATAGATTATGATTAACATCCCTTACATAATAACCAAAACGAATTAAAGTATGAAAAAATAAACTAATTTAAAGAAAATACTATGAAAGAATACTGTAAGAAAAACTAATAAATTCTTTGGCTTCTACTCGCCGTCTTCATGCAGAACGGGCTCGGGAACCAAATCCTCATGATCTGAAATGGTTAAGTAAGGAATGAGCTACACTAGCCCAACAAAGACATCACACTATCTCACTGTCATAGAAGTAAAGGTTGATAGAAAATAAAAACGACCAATGGATCATAATTTATACAAACTCATTTATCAATAATAAAACCCTTTACTGTCTACATACCTCGGTGAGATTCATGAAAATAATTTATGAAAACAATTACATCATAAATATCATAAGATCACGCACATTCTGCAATATAACACATATCATGCTTTTGTATTTCAATCATCAGTCAACAATTATCTCCTTTTATTCAGTCTACTAGTATCCATGGGGATTCATAGGGGGTCCCCCCTACACGTGAATCATTCACATTAATAACTTAATTTCAGGGCCGTCCCCATACCCCGTCCGGTATGGGCGCCAAAAATCATAAACCTCAATACCTCGTCTGGTATGAGGGTGAAACAGGCTGTCCCCATACTCCGTCCGGTATGGTCGCCAAAACACGTAAAGTCTTCATACCCCGTCCGATATGAGAGACCACGTTCCCAATAGGGTTTCCTATGGACCCGGTCCGTCCACCATCTCCTAGGATATCTAGTGAGGCTGTAAACATTATCCATTATCAATTCACATACCTTTTTACCATTTTTCTTAATCTCAATTATCCATTCAAACACAAAATACGTAAATCAGTAATGGACACCAAACAAGGTAACACAATATCGGGTTCATAATAATTCAAAGCATAATAAATGAAACCCTAATTCATGCATATGAAACCATAAAATAAACACATCAGGCACCCTACTGCATTTAAAACTATAAAATAAATCAAACAACACCTAACCGAAAATTTATTAGATTCGGGTTCCATTAGCAACTTTAATCAATTATACATATTTATTAATTCATAAAATACCGTTTTATCATTTATTAGGCTTTAATGTCGTGATAGGAAATAGAGTGAGAGATCCTTACTTGTTTCGGAGTCTGAAATTGGGTTCTCACTACGCATACGGGCAGTCCCTAGATTCCCTGAATTTTTCTCCGGAAACTGAAATACACTTCCGGTACCTGCACATATCCCAAAAAAAAAACCTCAAATCAGACCCAAGGCACTTTCGGCCTATTTTGGAATTTCAGCACGGCGGCGATCCGCCTCAGGTTGGCCGTTTTCGGTCGTTTTTGGCCGGATTCAGCCAAACTTGCATTGGTTCCTGTGATAAAACACCCCTAGGGCCCTCGGTGGGCCAAAAAATTTCAGAAAATTGAGACTTACTGGCAGTGAAGCTCTCGGGTGTAGCGGCTCCTCCAGCGCGAGTTGTGATTCGGTGTTTTTCTCAGGTCAACTTGTAGAGAAAAGGACGGTGGTCACAGTGGTATAAAAATTACATCGGACGGGAAACGGGAAGGGCCTCATCGGAGGAAAAAATTAAGGAAACCCGCGGCGGCGCCGCTAGACTTCGGCAGTGTTTTTCAGCCAATCAGCTGGTGGTTTGGCTCCGATTTGGCCACAGGGAGGTTCGGCATCGAAAAACGAGCAAATGAGAGAAATTTTACCTCGTTTGGCGACCGAAAAGTCCTCCGGTACGGCGGGCGGCGGCGGCCGGTTCCTTCGGTGGCTGGGTCGTCTTCTCCGGTGAGGGTTCTGGCAGCTAGGGTTTGGGGTTGGGTGTGGATGCGATTATTTATAATCCTCCCATTTTAATCTAAACCGTCCATCATGATTTAATCTGGACCGTCTGATCGCGATTAAATTAGAAATAAATATAGACCGTCCATCGCGATGTGATCTGGGCCGTCCGTACGTGATCAAATCTGAACTGTCCACACGAGTGAGATCTGGGCCGTCCACGCGCGCCTTTGATCTGGGCCGTCCGTGCACGCGGGAACAGATCTG